TGGAGTCTGTGGATTGGTCTGCCGTCATCTTGGATTCGCGATGTAGGTGGACCCCAGGCGAGAGTTTGACCCATTCCCAATCAGATGATAGAAGAAGCCTTAATTTGGACATTAAAGGATTCGTTTCCAACAAAATGCACCGATTATGTCGCCGAGACTTGGAGGGAGCTCTTTCGCTTTATAAGCGCTACAATGATGAGAGGACTGAGGAGAGCAAACACTGGAAAATGAGACTAAAAAGGGAGAGAACCTGTGGACTAGGAATCAGTCGAAAGGAAAACTGAGATTTTACTAGAGATGACGTTAAGAGGACACCATCCTTAAGTGGACAAAATAAGCAAGATAACTAATACTAATTCATTTGAACTGTCAGTAAACACTACAAATTTGTTTTTTAGTCGGTAGTGACCATAGTATCGATGAAACACAGCGTTAGAGATTTTTTTTATTTAGAAGTTATAGTATATAGAAATTTCTCTTTTTAAATTCAAGTTATATTAAGATGGCATGTAATTTTCATTTTTTCTTCACACGACCCCACAAGCTTGTAGCTTAAAATATTATCGTGTATAAATAAAGATCATCTATCTATCTATATAGAGATAGACATCCCTTTGAGAAGAGTTGAAAAATCTATTGTTGTCTAAATTGTTTCACTGAAGGAGAGCAGTAAATTCAACCATGTCCACCAGCCGAAATGCGTCCACCTTTCAAATTCAATTTGTTTGTTTTTTAGGACTTTTAAAGACGTTCGCCAAAAAATAGATCTATATTTCAAGTGTGTTTCTTTTTTTCCTTTTATCATGTCAATAGGTCACCATTGTGTCTTTGAAGCCCAAATTAATTGCAGGAAAAATCCGTCCCCAGATGTGACATTCAAACATTTATATATATCATTTGAAAAATGAGAAGGAAAAAAGAGCATTTTCTGGGAAACTGAGAACAATTATTTACAAGTTTACAAAAAGGGATCAGTAGCTGTTTATATTTGCTGACATATTTTTTACTGTCTGAATCACCTCTGAGCTGATCAGGTTCAGAATAATTGTCACATTTGTGAGGAAGAGGGTTAGTCATCGTATAGATAGAAACGACTTTTCCAAATGTAAAAAACTCAAATATAACGCGTAACCTTTCGCAACTGCTACCGACGTTTATGAATAATTAATGACTATTGTTTCCCAAAGAATTTGCCGAGTTATCATAACGTGTTTAATATCCTTTAAAAGGTGCCACCTGTGGTTTTTCTATTTCCTGTTGTATAAAGAGTTAAGTTACATCTTAACCAGAGAAGTACTTGAATGAGTCGCTAAAAACAGAGCGCCGGTTTTAAAGAAGAACCCTACAAAATGAAAACAATCAACAATTAAGTAGACCGCGAAAACGTTTTCTCAGGCCTTTTCGTGCGCAAACGCGCACTACCTTCGTGATAGCATAGTTCTACTGAGGATGAGGATGGAGATTCACAACTGTGTAGCTGTGTCTCGTTGTGGGTATTGCTCAGTGCCTTGATTTCTTTGCATAACTGGCAAAATGGGAGTAAAATGCATTATCTAAAGTAACGTAATCGAATTTCCATTTTACAAAGTTAATAATGATGTTCGTTAGTGATTTTGTTTCAGACTTTTTATGTCCAACCCAAGAATTCAAGACATATTTCCTGCCTTTAAGAGTTTGAAACTTGAAGCCGTAATCAACTCTCGATCTCTGTATCTTCACGTCAGACGAGTCATAACTGCGCTGGAAAATGTGTTTTCTGAAAACGACGCGGAGGTTTTCATCGAGTATTTAATTAACTTTGGAGAAAGACATGAAGCATAGCCCGTGAGGCCAAAACATTTCGTTGTAGGCATTCTATTATGCCGATCAAGGCTACTTAGAGGTACATAAAATGTTGTAAAGCGCTGTATAGTGATGTAAACTGCAGAAGAGGGTAGTATAGTGCTATTAAGGGGTATATATTGTTTTGTAGCGCTGTATAGTGATGTAAACTGCAGGAGAGGGAAGTATAGTGCTATCTAGGAGTGCATATTGTTGTTTATGATTCATCAAATATTTTTGATCGCGCGAGATTGGTCTTAACGTAGCAAGTGATTGAATATCCCCCAGCTGAAGCTTGGTGATACCCGAGAATATCACCTAAGCGATTTCCCCAATTTGTAAAACTTAAACCGCACTTATTTTCGCACCAAATCGGAGAAATTGTTTATAAAGCGCTGTATGGTGATATAAAATTCAGCAGAGGGAAGCACAGTGCTAACTGGGGGTACATATCGTTGTGAAGCGCTGCATTTATGGTGCCACTCAGGGGTATAATGTTGCATGGTGCTGTATAATGATAAAAGTCGAAGTAAAGGGACGCATAATGCCATTGAAGGGAGGGAGAGAGGGGCATATAGGCGTGCGTATTCGAGGAGTTTATTCTACGATGTAAGGAGACATGGAGTCCAATAATCGACGGAACATGTTTGCTTATAATGAATCTCCCAGGCTGTTATCGACTACCTTCTAGGAAGTTTCATAGTAAGCTATCTTTTCCTAATTATTGTTTCGTCAAAACTCTTTCCCAGGGTCTTCTCTGCGTCTAGAGATGACGGCTACCGACTCTGTGGAGCTTGTGGATTGGTCTGCCGCCATTCTGGATTCGGTGGACCCTGGGCGAGAGTTTGACCCATTCTCAATCAGATGATAGAAGAAGCCTTAATTTGGACATTAAAGGACTCGTTTCCAACAAAATGCACCGATTATGTCGCCGAGACTCGAAGGGAGCTGTTTCGCTTTATAACTGCTACTATGATGAGAGGACTGAGGAGAGCAAACACTGGCACGTGAGACTTAAAACTGAGAGACCCTGTGGACTGGGAATCAGTCGAAAGGAGAACTGAGATTTTACCAGAGATGACGCTAAGTGGACACCATCCCAAAGTGGACATAATACGCATGATAACTACCACTCTGGGGGAGTATGGAGGTATATGAGTTGTAAGAAGCCTGAGGTTGCGCAAGGATTGGGGCGAATGAAAACTGAAAGAGACAGGCGGATAGTCGCATCTATTGAAGCGCGCAGAAGAAAAATGTTAAGGGCGATGACCAAAGTGCGCGTAAAGATGGGATAAAGGAAAAGTACTTAAAAAAAGGAAAGAACGAACAAAAGGAAGCAGAAAAAAAGGGAAGCGCAAATGTGAAAAGGTGCAAAAACTTGCGTGAGGAAAAAGGTAAAAAAGGTGCACACATGTAACAGCATAAACAGGTCCGTCGGCGTTCAAAACCGCGTGAGAATATGGAGAACGATAGACAGTGAAAGAGATACAATTGAAGAATCGACGCGCGTTTGTTAAGTGGGTGGAGGCTCGAAACATGGAATGTTAGTAAACTGTCAGCTGCATAGATTATCAACTTAGCGCGCGCCGGTCAAAACATTGAAGTTCCCATAGGATCTGTTCTCTCTGCATCTCACGTGAATCCTTAGAATATGGAGACAGACAATAAAAATCAACGCAGTTTTTGTATTTTTTACACTGTATATTTCTCTTATACAAAGAAGTAAAAAAATAAGTACAATAGAAAATGCATTAAATTGTCCAAGGCTTTAAGTAAAATACGCGCTAAACGGAGACACTAAAATGAACCCATTTACTCCCAAGACTCATCATAATTTAAATTCTCCTCACAGTATTAATACACCGACAGACATGATGTCAATAACAATTAGAGAAAATCTAAACTGGAGGATAATTTTAGGCTAGAAACGTAATGTTACATCGAATTCCTGGAATGAAGAAAACAACGAGAAACATATTCTTATCAGTTGGGAGAATTTTTCTTAAATATAAACTAAGGTAAATGAACAACTATCTTCAACTGTAAATAAAAATAGCATCAAAACACTTCACGCTAAATAAACTGACATTATACAAAGCACATTTAGTTCAAACTGCTCCAGCTTGTTTTTAAAATTCTACGTTACATCCTATTCAACCATGCAAGGTTAACTATTACATTCTATACCAGCATATACCAATGATAGTTGCGAAAATCTGCAAAATTAAGATTGGTTTTACAAAACTTTCTTGTAAAACAGCTGTGATACAGTATACCTTTTGTTTGACCACGTAACGGGTTCTAATTACAAAAGCACCCTTTGAATATCTAACTATAAATTCTTACACCTAAGAAGACATTCTCAGACACCTTCAAATTGTACTAAGGTAAATTCAAAGCAATGAAAAAAAGTTTGAACAGGGAATTTTCAAAAATTGAAAGATTTCTTCTGAAGTCCTGAGCCTTTTCAAATAAGGACAAGATTTACATTTATTCATGAACCTTTTCACCAAAATAATTCCTATTGAGGACTACATGGCTTACTTGTACTACTTCTCTAATTTATTGACGTAAATATTTTCCTACAGGAAAAAACAAGTTCCATGTCACATACATCAAAAGTCACAGCTATGGGAACTTCAGCAACAGTGAACTGTACGTCGCTGTTTCCTTCTTTAGATTACACGGACAATTTTTAACCTCTCTGTCGTGGTTCTTTAAAACGAACAGATAAGTGTTTCATGAAACGGACTAAAATTAAAAAAATTAAAAACAGGGTTATAGCCAGCTTTTTGACTTGATGTAGGCCTGTTACCTAAGAAATTTCAATTTTTGTTTCAACATTTGTAAGAGTCATATTATGGAAGTCAAGCGGGCGGAAAACAGTCGTAGGCCAGGCCTACGGGACTAGAGGCTGGCTACAACCCTAAAACTAAATCTAATGTCTTTAACATATGGTCAGTAAATTCAATAACATCATCATCTCTAATGTAGACCTCTTCAAATTAAGCTTAGAATGGCAATCTTGGCACTGATAGAATCAGATTGAATTGAAATGGATTTTAAAGAATTTAAAATAATCAATATTTTTGCAAAGATAATCGCAATTTGTAACAAAGTAATTTATGATATTTAAAAACCATCCAAGTTTAATATCACATATGGCTGCAAACTTTTCAATTCAAATTTTTGAAATTAAAATTTCGTCAACTTTTGCCAATGACGAACGGTTTCTTTGCTTATCAAAAGCTTAGAATATAAACGCAATGAAAACCCTGTGGACAAGCTCCTGGTTATATACAAAAAAAACCTTTTAATTGTTTTCCATACAGCTGATTGTAATACAGGAATGGAGCTGAGTGTCATTTTGGCGAAAACGAAAACCTCGCAATCGCCTTCAACTGCCTTGTTACATTTCGTTCTCTTCGCAAGCATTTAAATTTGTACAGTTAAGAAAAAAAGAAAACTCCACCGATCAAAATATAATGAAATAGTCTGTTTTTATTTCTTCACCAAAGTAAAGTTACATATCTCAAGTTCCATTGAGCAAAATAGTAAAAAGTAATGAACAATAGCCAAAAATTGCATTTTGACGTCAACATCCGGGACGTCGGCCATGTGCTTTGTCGAAAAAGACCTAGTCGCCGTGTTTGTGCTGGCATGTTTTGCTTACCAAAATTCTTGAGTTATAGTCACTCTTAACTCGAAACAGTCAGTAAGTTCTATCGTATTTCGTGTGTATTGTAATTTTACTGGCTATAGGTGTAATTTCTGTTCGTAGAAAACCTGCCTTATTGCCTAATCGGATGTTTACTCGGCTTGATTACTGGAACATTTGTGGGTTTTCATTGGAATACCTGTCGATGAATGATTGAGTTTTCGCTTTCGAGTCATGAAGTCAAGAGTGACGTCATCTCCAATCAGCAAAAAGGGCGCCCAGTATTTGATGTCGCGGAACTTGTCTGATTCTCTGAGGCTTTTCATGGCCAGGTTCAGTGACTCGCTTGCAGGTTTACCTTCTGCAAGGTGTTGATAAAAGCATTTCATGAACTCGAGAGTAGCCTCGTCATCAATCGCCCACAGGGACACCACAACAGACCGAGCACCAGCCCCCATAAAAGCGCGCGCAATGCCAACCACACCTTCAGCCTTGATCTCGCCCCGACCACTGTGGCAGCAACTGAGCACAACAAGTTTGGCGCGAAGTTGAACATTCAACACATCTCGAATCGTTAAAATGTAATCCTCCTTCTCCGTAGGCACAGTAGATATTCGGTCTAGGTCAGGTGTAAGAGCAATTTCGCCAGTTTCCGGACATCCGTGTGCCGCAAAGTGAACTAAGGAAACGGAACTGAGTCTTTTCAACACCTCACGTTTCGTGGCCTGTCTGCCAGTGATTGGCGTGATATTCAGAATTTTTCCGATCATTTCTACTTCTTCTTTAGCACACGGAAGCGGCGCAAAAAAAATTTTCTTTCCCTTCCTATTAGTAACCTCGGCTAAACACGGTTCTCCTACAAGTAACGCACCACTGCTTTTGTGATAATCATCTGGGCAATCGGAAATGAGTCTAAGACTTGTTAACGATGGAGCGAGTCGGATTCTGAACGATTCACACAGGTATTTAGAATTACCATCCTTCAATGCAGCGTAAGGAGCGAGCCACAAGGATCCATCGGGAATAATGAGTAGCTCATCCCCTTTAACCAGGTCAGCCACCGGCTTCATGAGGGTATCATACAAAGTGCTTAGGCCGCGTTCGTCTTGTTGGATGGGAGGGTGAGGGTTGTCTTCTTTAGTTTTCACATCCACTTTTGAACGGCTCTCCCTCAAAGCATCCAAAGATCGATTCTCGCATCTCACATTGGAACGAACACCAATTTGTGTATAGACACCGTGTATGAACGACTCAAAGGATTGCCTAGCTCCACTATTCTCTGAAACAGAATCAGTGAGGTTACTTTGTCTTAACTGAACTTGTTTTCCTTCGGAAACAAACCAAAGATTGACGTCAGCTTCGTCCACTACCTGAAAGATAATGTCTGATGGAACGTTTTTTAAATCTGCTAAATCTTCATCGCTTCCCTTGTGCTGCCCTGTTCTACCCCAAAAACTGGATTCCATGAGGTCGGTCAGAGCTTGAGCTCGTCCTTTCTCAGCAGCAAATAAGGCCTCATCTATATTACCTTGTTTTACGAGAACGCTACACAAACCCGAATACGCATTTTGGTGCTTATTTCGAAAATTAACTTTCCACTCATCTTTAGACTTAAGAAGTACTCTCAATGAATTGTATAACTTTACGCTCGCTCGGAAATGTTCAACGGCTTTTGGCAGTCCACCCTGCGCCTCAAAAACACATCCTAAAAGATAGTAGGCGAGGGCCTCTAAGGATTGGTCTTCGACCTCTTTGGCAAGTTTGAGCAATAGGCAGTATAACTCGTTGGCCTTTTTCAAATCTCCCAGATATCGATAAGCATTACCAAGATTGCCATAAGCACTAGCCTCCCCATGCTTGTCTCCTATTTCTTTAACTATTTTAAGATTTAGGTTGTGGTACTCTATGGCTTTTTTTAATTCACCCAGACCGTGATAAGTATTGCCAAGATTGCCATAAGTATTACCCTCCGCATGCTTGTCTCCTACTTCTTGAGCTATTTTAAGATGTAGGTTGTGGTACTCTAAGGCTTTTTTGAATTCACCCTGACTTTGATAAGCAATGCCAAGATTACCATAAGCGTGACCCTCCCCATGCTTGTCTCCTACTTCTTTAGCTATTGTAAGATGTAGGTTGTGGTACTCTATGGTTTTTTTTAAATCACCCAGACTGTGATAAGCATTGCCAAGATTGCCATAAGCGTGACCCTCCCCATGCTTGTCTCCTACTTCTTTAGTTATTTTAAGATGTAGGTTGTGGTACTCTATGGCTCCATTGAAATCACCCAGACTTTGATAAGCATTGCCAAGATTGCCATAAGCCTTACCCTCCCCATGCTTGTCTCCTACTTCTTTAGCTATTTTAAGATGTAGGTTGTGGTACTCTATGGCTTTTTTAAAATCTCCCACACCGTAATAAGCATTGCCAAGATTGCCATAAGCGCAACCTTCCCCATGCTTGTCTCCTACTTCTTTAGCTATTTTAAGATCTAAGTTGTGGTACTCTATGGCTTTTTTAAAATCTCCCAGACCTTTATAAGCATTGCCAAGATTGCCATAAGCACCACCCTCCCCATGCTTGTCTCCTACTTCTTTAGCTATTTTAAGATCTAAGTTGTGGTACTCTATGGCTTTTTTGAAATCACCCAGACTTTCATAAACAATGCCAAGATTGCCAAAAGCTCTACCCTCCTCTTGCTCGTCTCCTACTTCTTTAGTTATTGTAAGATCTAGGTTGTAGTACTCTATGGCTCTATTGAAATCACCCAGACTTTGATAAGCATTGCCAAGATTGCCATAAGCGTCACCCTCCCCATGCTTGTCTCCTAGTTCTTTAGCTACTTTAAGATGTAGGTTGTGGCACTCAATGGCTTTTTTGTAATCACCCAGACTGTCATAAGCATTGCCAAGATTGCCATAAGCGTTACCCTCCCCATGCTTGTCTCCTACTTCTTTAGCTATTTTAAGATGTAGGTTGTGGCACTCTACGGATTTTTTAAAATCACCCGTTTCGTGATAAGCAATTCCAAGCTTACTTAAAAAAAAACCCTCCCCTTGCTTGTCACCTATATCTTTCGCTATTTTAAGATCTTGGTTGTAGCACTCTATTGCTTTTTTGAGATCACTATGTATCAGATACAAATCGCCAAGATTGCCATAATAGTTACCCTTCCCATGCTTGTCTCCCTGATTATTGAAGTCTATGACTTTCTTGACATCACCTGAACTTGCACTACCGTGGTCATGACTAATAGGATCTTTTTCCTCCATGGACTTATCTCCCACTTCACTGACAGACTGAGATCTTAATGACAACAAGATCCTATTGTTTTTGTCAATCTTTTTTATGTTAAGGTTTAAAAATGTGCAAAAACAAAAAAGATGAGTTTTCTAATCACATTCATTTGGACGGTATATAATAGTCCATTTTTACAGTTGTGTGCTTGATTGCCAAGCCTTTGAACAGGAGTGTGGCTAAGGTGACCTTGCTATAACGCAAATATTACAGCTGCTTTTCAAATGCAAATTACACTGTTGTAATGATCACTGGAGACTGGTCTCTATCACAACATTGTTGCTTCAGCCTCCCTCCAAATCAAAGGCTTGGCAACTAGCTAAGTACACAACTGTAAATTGGCCTATTAGGAGGACTTGTATGAAAGGTAGATGTTTAATCAACATTCAGTCTTAAAGTCAGTTATGAAGTAAATCTACATATCCCAAAAAGTTCTCTTCTGTGTGGAACCTCAAATTTTAACATGAAATATCTAGATGTAATCCCTTGTTTCCAAAATCTTGGAAGCACTTTCTCAATTTTGAAATTAATATAGCTTTAACATCAGATGAATATTTTACAGCAGTGGAAGAAATGTGTCTACAATATGAATACGTGCCTTTTAGAAGTTGCATTTGTCCACAAGAAAACTTGACGAAAGTTTTCGAGTCTCTGAGTAGTTGGAAAAGTATAAAGGGATTGAGGAAAATCAGCATAATATATATAAAAATTACCAAATTTCTTTTTTAGCCTCGTTTCAGAGAGATCATCTACCCACGGACCATTTACAAACTGGGTGAATATTGGTCTTTTAACTAAACTTGTGTTATGGCATGGATAATATGACTAAGTCAAATTGGCTGAAAGGAGTAATATCACTAATAAGTCATGAGGTTAAATGAATTTTCCCACGTTTTTTAATCACAAACACTTAAAGTATGAGCTGACAAGTTCCCATCATAATTAATATCCTTCTTTGTATTTTCTCCCTTAAAATGTCAAATTATGTAATATTGCCATTATGCCCACGGTTAAAAATGAAAGATTCCTTCAAAGGATACAGCTAAACCCTTATCGCACCAAGTGATTGCTTCTTCAAATTTCTTCAGTTCAACACAGGCAGTGGCTCCTGTAGGTAACAATAAAAAGAACCGTATATTAATTACTGTGGCTCAATTCCAAGAAAAGAACCAGAAAACATTGAAAGCTAAATATTTACAGACCAAAAAAACCAAAAAACAACAAAAACAAAAAGAAAACTAAACAAAAGGAAAAGAATAAACAGGCCCTGGTAGCTTTCAGTTAGATTGACTTTTGATAACTGAAACTTCTAAGAACATTTAAATTGGGACTGATAATTCCCACAAAATTACTAGAAGATATAGATAGAATATAAGACATGCAATGTGAAAACCGAAAAATAAAACCCACCTTTTCAAATTTTTGTAATGGTACATTTTTCAATCAACCTTTTTAAAACTAGGTTAAATTTCAACTTCAATAAAAGTACAAATTTAAATATTTTATTTAATATTAATACCAGTGTCCCCTTGGTTTTAGTTAACA